GGCAGCCTGCAGCGAGACTTCTTCTCCCTGCTGGTGGGGGGACCAGGCTCACATCTCTGGTGACTGGGTAGGGGATGGGGACTTCACAGGTGCCCCCGCTTCGGCTGATACGGGGGCCAGGGCTGTGACCAGCCCACTCAGCTGTCAGTCCAACAAAAAATAAGGATCACCTAGCAAGTGGGGAAGGCTTTAGGGACTGGAGGAGATGACCTTCTGTCTGTCTTCTCTAGGTTTCTCCTACCATAGCAGTCACCACAATGTCTTACTGTTATAATTCCTGCAGGGAGAAACCGTAGGATGAGTAAACAACTCAAAGAGGCCCTGGGAAAGGGGATGCAAGGGTCGGCACAGCAAAACCAGAGGAGAGGAGCTGCTTGCCGAGTCCTCCAGTGCAAGCTGGGAATCATCCACACATGCAGATGGTCCTCCGGCTGCAGGGAGGCATGGCAGGGTGACCAGCGGGATCAGCGCAGGGGCAAGCGAGAGGCACCGGCTGGCCCTGTTCCTGCTGGGGGGACACAACCCCACTGAAAGTGGTGGCACATGTCCCACCTCTGCTGTGGGTCGGGAACCGGCTGGGAAGGGAGCGGGACCCCCCAGGGTGGGCTGGGCAGAGGGCTTCGATGACTGGGACACCAGCAGCGGGATGGCCGGGGACAGCGTTCACCATAGAGACAGCCCAGCAGGATGGGACACAAACCCTGGGGGCTCCCTGGACTCCTGGTCCATCCCCAGACCGGGGGCAGCAAGGACCCTCAGTGTGGGTTGGGGGAATCCTTGCACCCATGGGGCAGGATCTGGTCTGCGCAGGGCAGGGCCGAGGAAGGGCTCTCCCGGGAATGCCAGTGTGGCTGAGCAAAAGCACGGCGCTGGGTGCTAATAGCCTCCAGCTTGGCTTTGAGTCCATGCATCCTGCCGGGGCTGATTAGAGCAGCTGGGCTTGTCCACTTCCCTGTTTTATTGCTTCCTCTCCGACGGGGGAAGGTGGCGGGCTTAGATAATTACAGGCAGGATGCCAACACCTCTGGGGCTTCAGTCAGGGATGTCGACTCTCACAGGCTGTGAGTGGGAGGCAGCCCAGAGCTGGCGTATTTAACATCTTTGAGGGATCCCAGTCCATCCAGCACATTCCAGCGCTCCTCACTAATGGGGCAGGATCCATCAGGCTGCGCAGAGTGCTCCTTGGGCTGCCGGGTTTGCAGACATCTGGTCACGGAAGCTTGTCACCCGGCCTGGAGAAGCGGGATTGCGGGAGAGAGGATGGGGCATTGCACAGTGCCGGAGATTGCTTGTGCTGGGAGAGGGCAGCTCCGGCCACCTGAGTCCTCCTGTCCGTCCCACCTGGCATCTCACAGGTGTCTGCACTGCCGGCTGCAGCCTTGTACGGGGAGGGCCAGCAGGCTGGGACCTGCACGTCCTGCCTGTGCCGGGGACCCCTGGGATGGTGAAGCAGCCCCTGCTCAGCCACCGGGCTGGCTCTGCCCGTGCCCAGGGGCATCCACTGCTTTCTTCTCAGGGCCTCGCCATCCCTCCGTGTGGCTCCAGGACGTGTCCCGGGGCTGCCACGCTGCAGAGCCATCGGGGCTCCAGTGCTCCCAGCTGCT